CACGTGACCTCTCCCTGCAGTGGTCCCAGGGGCTCACCCAGTAGAAAATTCCTGGTCTTCTGCTCTGATATCCTCTGGTGTTTGCAGTCCATTGTCTGAGACACCAAGATTCCTAGAGATGACTGGAGTATGTGTATGGGTCCCCACTAGCCAGAGTCCATTTGGGATGGGGACTGGGGTGAGGGCATGTGGTCAGTGTGCTATGGAAGCATTCAGAAGGCAAAGAGCTAAGTTCTGCGCGCGCGCACACACACCCACACCCACACACACACACCACTCAGATCTAAATTCTAATCCTAATTTGCTCACTTACTGGTCCAGACACTATATAATGAGCAGATGGTAATGACCTAGAGTGCTGTTGAAAAAGGTTAGTAACATAAAAGGCCTAACTTCACTGCCTAGCATACAGCAGGAGGCTAATGACTGGAAATCGTTATTATTCAAGGCAAAGGGCTGTTGCAGTCTGAGGTCCCAGCACACCTGTGGCACAGAGGCCCAGCAGGGAAACCAGGGTTGCGGGCGGGATTGAGAGCTTCCAACACTGGCCCACGCTTTCTAGGTTTGAGCCTTGGCGGCTGTATGGTGACTTCATGGGACTTCTCACACTCACCATGAAGCTCTGGGGGGGTGTCTGAGGTCTAGTCCATAAGGCCAAACCAGGACCCAGACAAGGCAGGGGCTGACTCCTTAGATGGTCTAACTCCTCTGTAAATGGGTGTCTCTTAGAGGCAGCTCCCCAAGGCCTCCGTTGGTGGCCTGGATCTTCAGGGCTGGGTTTGTGGAGAGGTTCACTGGGTCTGAGTCACCCAGAAAAGTCACTTTCTCTTTGGGGAACTTAGAAGAGGCAGACGTGAGTGACTATGAAGGACGGAGGCCTGGACTAGAAGACTAGGGAGTGAGTGGGGGGACACCTGCCTCTGCCAGCTGGAACCTGTTTTCTGCGGTCAGCACCCTCTTTTCATCTCCTCTGCAGTCCGCATCAGCACCATTTTGCAGGCGGACTCACACCTCTGACCTTCCCTCTTATTCCTTACAAGATGTCACCAAGTCTGCCGGGGATAGCCATTGGCAAGACCATCCTCCCTCCTCTCTGGCTCCCATCCTTGCCCTAGGCCACAGCTTCCATGGGCAAAACCCCACGTCGGCACATAGCTGAATGTAGAGGTGGTGAAAATTTTGGCAACAATAAAAGATATCTGAATCTACAACAACTACGAAAACTTGATTCAAAATCAAGCACAGGAATGCATCTGAGGTGTTTCTGATAGTTCTGGGCCAGGCTGTGTGGTCCGTTTCTCTGCAGCCTTGGTTCCGAAGCTACCGTATGAACGCTGTGCACTGCACACACATCATCACACCAGGCACTGGCACTAGCACTTCCTGGGCTAGCTCAGCTCATTTGTTATGAATTTCCATGTCTTTTCTGCACGTACGAAGTGTTCCGCTCTTACAGAAATATAACGGTTTAACTACAGAAAACATAGTATTTTCCTATGGTCATTTCTCAGTCAAATGACTATAGCTTTGGATTGTGTCTTGTTAGAATGCTTTGAAATTTAGTTAGTTACATTTTTTCAGGTCTGCGTGTGGAGGTCAGAGGACAACTTGTGGGAGTTGACTGTCTCCCTCTATCATGTAGGTTACAGAGATCAAATTCAAGTCTTCAGGCTTGGCGGGATGCAGCACCTTTACCCAGTGACCCATTTTGTTGACCCTAGAATGCTTGATTTAAAAAACTGCTGTCGAATTACTCACTTGAGGGTCATAAAAAGGCCCCAAAGAGCTAGGGGTGCAGCTCAGTGGTAGAGTGCTTGCTTGGCACATGTAAGGCCCTGGGTTCAATTCCTAGTACCCCTCCCCCCCAAAAAAATCATTGAATGAATTTTGTCTTGAGTTAGGACAGAAATTCCAATCATAAACTGGGCGTGATAACACACGCCTTTAATCCCAGCACTCGGAAACCTGAGGTGGGTGGATCTCTATGAGTTTGTTGAGATCCTGTCTCAAATATGTGTGTGTGTGTGTGTGTGTGTGTGTGTGTGTGTGTGTGTGTGTGTGTGTGTGTGTGTGTCCTAAAGCACTGTTTTAAAATGCATTTCTTAGAGCAGGGAAACTGGTTTTTGGTAAAATACTTGCCATGCAAGCATGACAATCTAAGTTTGGATCCCCAGCATCCCTGCTTAAAAACAACAACAAGAAAACAAAACAATAACTGGGCACAGCAGCCATGTCTGTAATCCCAGAGCTAGAAAGGAGAAAGGGGGCTCACTGGCCAGCTAGTCCAGCTGAGTCAGCCAGCTCTGGTTCAGAGAGACCTTGTCTCAAAAGATAAAAAGCAACTGAAGTTGACACCCACCCACCTCTGGCTCTCTCTCTCTCTCTCTCTCTCTCTCTCTCTCTCTCTCTCTCTCTCTGTCTCTGTCTCTGTCTCTGTCTCTCTCTCTCTCTCTGTCTCTGACACACACACACACACTTTACACACAGAACATACACACATAATAAAATAAGTTTCTGTATGATTTATTATCAGTAAGCAGTTGATTTGTATACTTGTTTAATATGCCTATACACCTGGAGTTATATAACCATTTGTTGGGTGAGACTACTTCTTTCGTAAATAGAGAGAGTTTCAGAAGCCGGGCCCTAGGTGCCTGCACCCTTGCTGTCTAGGGAGGCAGGCTCTCCACTCCCTGCCTCCCTCCTCTCCCCTCTGATCCTCCACTCGGCCACAACACTGGTCCTGCCCTGTTCAGCCAGCGGCACCCCATAGCCCATAAGATGACTTAGGCCCTCCCAGGACCCTCCAGAACCAACCACTTTCCTCACACTCCTTTATGGTCCCTCACAGGTGAGGTCTCCCTCCAGTGCCTCCCCCACCTCCCCTCACTCGCAGATCTTGGAGCTTGGGTCATTTCCCACCCCTTACGGAGTCTTCCCCCCCCCTTTATTTATTCATTTCACAAAGGAACATTCCTAAAGATTGGGCTGTCCCTCCACTGCACCCGGTCCACAGCCTGGAGAGAGGACAGATGGTAGAGGGAGGGAGGGGACATGGAGAGAGATGGGGGGAACAGGTAGAAGGATGATGTCACAGGTGCAGCTCTAGAAAGTTGTACCTTAGAGCAGGGGCTGGAAACAACCAATTAAAATGTATCTTTAGGGCTGTGGTGGGGGTGGGGCGGGGCGGGGCGGGTGGTTTGCCTTTAACCCCAGCACCAGAGAGGTAGAGAGGCAGGTGGATCTCTGTGAGTTTGCAATCAGTTTGGTCGACATAGTGAGTTTCAGGCTAGACCAAGGTACATAGTGAGACCCTGTCTTAAAGCAGTAATAGCAACAATAAATATCAATAAAATGAAATGTAGTTTTAGAGAGTCCCTGGACTGCCTCCTAAGTCTAGAGAGGAAGGGGTTAATTTTCCACGTAGAGATGTCAAAAGGTCTTCTCTCACATCCATCATTTGTCCCATCACCGATGACCTTTCATCTCGTTCTTTTAATCATGTGACATCTTCTTCCTGTCCACTGCAAAGGCTCTGGGGGGTCATATGGACCACCCTCTTTGTACAGATGGGTAAACTGATGCCCAGAGGAACACAAAACCTTTCTTCGCACCACATAGCAAATGATTAACAGGGCCAGCATTGAAAGCCAAGCCTGTCGCTGAAGTTTAGGACCAGGCCAGAGAAGGGCAGTCCTGTGCATCTCTTGAGTCTAGGTCCTAGAGGGTAGACCCAAGAAGGGACCCAGCCTTCCTCAGCTGAGCTGACAGCCCATTGATGCCATTGTTTTTTTAGAGCAGTGGTTCTCAACCTTCCTATCACTGCGACCCTTTATGTTGTGGTGACCCCCAACCATAACATTATTTTCATTGCTACTTTATAACTGTAATTTCACAACTCTTGTGAATCATGACGCAAATAGCTGTGTTTCTGATAATCTTAGGCGACCCCTGGGAAACGGTGGTTCCACCCCAAAGGGTTGCGACCCACAGGTTGAGAACTACTCATCTAGAGCCTCCTGTGAGGCAGAAATGATGTCCCAATAAATAGAAAGCCTTGATGCCCAGGAGGGAGAAGTCTGGGAGAAGTAGATCCATCGCCCAACACCTGTCCCTTGTCCACGCAGGAGTGAGGGCAGATGATACAGGGTGTGGGCTGTCCCTCTGAGGGAGGAGGGCGAGATTAGGGATGGGATCCCCTTCACAGGAGTAGAGCACAGAGGATGGGGAGTTTCAGGCTGGATGATGGGAGTGTTGAAGACTGGGCCCCGACACCCAGGGGAAGGGGCCTGAGTGCCTGCCAGCCAGCACAGCTGTGCGGCAAAGAGGGTGGCGCCAGTGGCCAGGGGGCCTGACAATGGGGTGGGAGAGAGCGAGCAGGGAGCAACGGGAGATCTGGTTTTCAGAAATTTCATCCTTACAGTCACAGTGGTGAGGATGGGCAGAGACCACAGGGGGAGCGGATCTGCAAAGCACCCAACCTGGGGCTCTCACCCGGGAGATGAGCCCAAAGAGAACGAAAAGGATTCTCAGACCCGCCCTTAGTGGGATGGGACCGGACTAGCTGCTTCACAGTCAGGGGTGCTGTCACAGTTTGGTGACTTTTTCCAACTGTAACTTTGTCCTCCTCTGGAAACAAAGCAAAGCCACGCCTCGGCAGACTCAGAGAGCTATCCCCATCAGCGCTTGGAAACCCTCCCTGACGCAATCCCTGGCTCGAAGCCAGAGGGACCCTCCATCGCTTTCCCCCTCTTTCTTTCTCTCCCTCCCGGTGGTCTTTCCGCTACCTCCGCTCCCGAGTTGAACCAGAAACAGCCCCAGCTGCGCCTCTGGGCGCCTTGCCCCGCGCTCTCCATCCCCACCCAGGGGTCAAGCTTTGCAGCGAGAGCGGCGGGAACATCCGAGGGGCTCCCAGGGGACCAGGCCCCAGGCGGGGCAGGGTGACGGCGAGTGTCCCCGGAGCCATCCCTGCACCCCGGCGGGCTGTACGGGCGGCTCACCTGACTTGCCCATGGCCGGTTGTGTGTGCGCTCCTCTGCTCCGCCGCCGCTGCGCTGCGCCGGGTGGCGGGTCCCAGCAGCTGGCCCGGGCCAGGAGGGGCAGGGGCGGCTGCAGCCACTCCCCCGGCGCCGCCCGGCCCCGCCTTATAAGGCAAGGGCAGCTGCAGGCGGAGGCGCGGGGGGCCACCCCTAGAATTCACATGGCTTGGGGGGATTCCGCCGCTGGCGAGGGCGGTCCAGATGTGGACGCGGATGCCGGTTCAGAGCGGCCTCTCTCCCCCTGGCTGAAAGCTCGCGTGAGACCTAGGGGAGCCTGCGCCTTCCTGGTGGTTCCCCATGGCTCCTGCGCGACACAGGCGTCACGAAGACTGCTGTGCTCACTGTGGCCTGGCGAGGTACGGTTCCCGCCGGTGCCACCAGGGGTCGGTACCCTTCCAGTCTCGGTCTTGGGGGACACTCCCGCCCCCAGTGTGCTGCCTCCTCTCCTCTGCTCCAACCGCGTCTTTCTAGGACCCTTCCGCTACGCGACCCGGGCTGTAACTGAACACGGCCAGCCTCTCCAGCTCCAGCCGCCCCAGGGAGGTGCGCACAACCCGACTTGGACCTGTCTGTGCTCTTGACCCTCACTGAGACCAAGCCAAATTCCCCACCCTTGAGTCTGACTCCAGACGTGCATCCTCACCTCTCTAACTGTATTCCACGGTCCTGTCCAACCAGATTCCCCAAACGTTCCTGGATTTTCTCACCCATCCCTCGGCAGGAATTGCCGCTGACTTGGCCCTCCCAGCCTGTACTCTGGGGGCTGTCGGTTTCTTCAGATCTCAGCAGCCCTTCCCTTCGCCAATCTTAGGACAGAACACACCTGACATCGGAGACACGGGCTCAGCTTCACCCCTGAGAAGAGCACCAAAACAAGACACAACCTAATAAGCTCCCCGTGCCACGGGAACTCGTCCTCACTGGTGGGCCAGAGGATTGGAAGCCCTTGTGGAAGATAAGTGTTCAGGCTTTTCCGTTAGGACTGGCGAGTTGGCTGGGTGGTAAAGGCACTTGAGGCCAAACTCCAAGTTCTGAGTTGGATTCCTGGAAGGAACACAGTGGAAAGAGAGGACCACTCTTGAAAGCTGTCTTCTACACAGGGATGGTGGTGCCCCCTCCCCACGTTGGCATCGTCTAAACTGAGTCTCAGTTTATTCAAAACACGTCTTTTTCTCATCATAAAAGATTTAAAGACTGTTTTAATAAATGGGGACTGAATTGAACTGATTCAAAGAGGACAGAGTTTGCTCTCTTTCTCTCTCTGTCTCTGTCTCCCTCTGTCTGTCTGTCTGTCTACATATATTTTAAAAATACATTTATTTGGGCCAGGCATGGTAGCACACGCCTTTATTCTCAGCACTTGGGAGGCAGAAGCAGGCCGAGCTCTGTGAGTTTAAGACCTGCCTGGTCGCCGGCAGTGGTGGCACACGCCTTTAATCCCAGCACTCGGGAGGCAGAAGCAGGCAGATCTCTGTGAGTTCGAGGCCAGCCTGGGCTACCAAGTGAGTTCCAGGAAAGGCACAAAGCTACACAGAGAAACCCTGTCTCGAAAAACAAAAAAAAAAAAAAAAAAAAAAAAAAAAAAAAAAAAAAAGACCTGCCTGTCTACATAGTGAGACCTTATCTTTAATTTTGTGTGTGTGTGTGTATTTTCGGGGTGGGGTGGGGTGATGTATGTTGAGTGTTTGAGTGTCGTGGTGTATGTGGAAGTCACAGAACAACTGGTGAGAACCAGTTCTTTCCTTCCACCACGTGAGTCCTGGGGTCAGGCATGGCAGCCAGCGCCTCACCAACTAGTTTATTTTCTCTCCTTTATTTGATTTTTTTTGAGGCAGGCTCTCCTGTGGCCTTGGCTGGAGCTCCTGTGAAGCATGACTTTGAAGTTCTGATCTTCCTGCTTCCATCTCCTCACGCCGTGACTACAGGCTACATCCCTAGCTGTCCACACTCTCTGAACTAAAATGCATTGTTTTAGGTTACTGTTTGTTAGACGGTCTCAGTGTACAGCCAAACTAACCTCACATCACCATACTCACTCAGGTGCCCGATCTCAGGTCAGGGCTGCACCACACCTGGCCGGAACCTGTAGTGCTGAGTTTAGATGTACCCAGTAGGTCAGCACAGAGCTGCACACGGAGCTTCTCTTCCTCCCCCTCTGTCCATGAGACACACTTACTGCCTCCTAGCACTTCCAAAGAGGAGCAGAGTGGATACTGGTGCCCATCTGACGTGAAGGACTTTTAGTGCTGGGTAGGGATTCTGACTCCGTCTGTTCCCTTCTCCCGACAAATTCCCACTGAAATAATCAAATGAACGCAGGAGGGGTCCCTATCACACGTAGGATCTCTAGAAAGGTATTTCAGAGGAACCAGAATTGCAAGGCTATGAGGAAATAGCTAAGCACAAAGGAGTCATCCACCGTATGCGGAAGACAACGTCAGGAGCCACCAGTCTCCCGTCCACCTTGTTCAGAAGTGAGTTCAGAAGGAGAGGGCCAGAGACCTGGCGAGCTAAACTCCTGCCTCTGTGGCATCTGAAGAGTCTACAGTCGGTGAGTTGTGGGCTCTGTAAACTGGCTTTGCCAGCAGCCTGCCAGCAGTGTGCCAAATGGACTTAGGCATGGTCCAAGCTGATTTCTACTAAGGACAACTGGGTGGCTGGAGAGGGAGGTGCTGCCTCGGCCAGAAGACAGACAAAAGACAAGCCATAACAAAGGGAAGACACCAAGAAGAGGGAGGAACTCAATTCATGTTTTGTCACCTAGCCCAGGCTGGCCTCAAACTAGCCACATAGCCGAGGATGGCCTCGAACTCCTTACTCTCCTGACTCCAACCCCCAAACAATTTAACATTTTTCCTGAGGGTGTAGCTCAGTGGTAGAGAATACTCAGCACAGGGAAGCCCTGGGTTTGCCCCCCATCATCACTAAGCAAGCAGGAGAGTTCCCATTGTCTTCCGAAGCTTGTCAGGTCTGGCTCTTACACTAAAGCTTTGTCTTGCATTTTGGTTATGCGAGCATGTGGAGCCAGCCTGCGGTCTGCTTCTGTTGTTGTCTTTATCTATTAAAATATGGTCAGCCCAGTGCGCCAGGTCCTTTCTATTTTGCTCTTTCTCCTCCTCTACCTCTTCTTTGTGTAAAGCAGATAAGGACCTTCCCAGCACTATGGACCTCCCTACGAGCACGTGCTTGTTACAAGGCTGTCCCTCCCTCTCTGGAAGAGAGCAAACACACGAAGTGCCCGATAAGGAGCATGATTCCAACTCCATGAGTGTGAAATGCCTCGGATGCTCTACTAACAGCTCGCTCTCAGCCAGCACCAACTTAGCCTTGTGTGTTGGCTGCTCCACCGTCCTCTGGCCACAGGCAGGAAAGCGAGGCTGAGAGGAGGAAGCTCCTGCAGGGCAAACAGCACCCAAAGCACCTGGGCCAGTGGGAATAGAGTCCAACACACACATTTTGGATAAGAAAACAAGACAACACAGCAAAAGGAGACCGTGTCAGCGGGCCACACTGGGGAGAAGGAAGGGTCTGTGATGTCCTCAGCCCCCGGACCCTCTTATCACACAGGTTTAGGTTCAGTAGAGGCCAAGGTGTGTGTAACTAAGCAGTCCTTACTGCAGGCCCTGTCTCCAGTCTCCCCCCGCGCCCAAACCAGTTCCTCTCGGGTCAGCACCTGAACTAGCTACTTCTCTATTGCTTGATGTTACACCGTGACCAAGGTGATTCACAAAAGAAAACACCTAATTGGGTTTACAGCTCCAGAAGGTCAGAGTCCATGATGGCGGAGCCAAGGTGTGGCGGCATGGACAGCTGAGACCTAACATCTCAAACCTTAAGTGGGACACAGAGAGCATATCAGTTTGCCTCACGGACTTTGAACCTCTTTTATCTGAAAATAAACATTTATGACTTTTATCATCTTGATAAGTTGACCCTACCCCTCACCCCAGAAATTAAACTCAGGGACTCATGTATGCCTGGCAAGCGTTCTACCACTGAGCTATAACCCTGGCCCAATAAATTAGTTCTTCTATCATTCAAAAAGATGTCTGCCTCTCACTCTCTGCCTGTGAAATGTGTGTCTGATGTTAGTGCAGTCAACCAGCTTGCCTCCAATGAGTGAATAGGTTTGTTGGTCTGTTGTCGTGCTGGTGAATGAACTTGGTGCCTTGCACATGCTAGGCCAGCTACCTCTGAACTGAATTATCCCCAGTCCAGGTCATCTCAGTTTTATCTTTTTACTTTTTTTTAATTTCAATAAGTTCAGAAGACAGTTACTATCCACAGCAAAAAAAAAAAACAAAAACAAAAACAAAAAAAACCCAGTTACTTTTATGATTTGTAAAATTAACCTTTGCTGGCGTAAAACTTGATCTGGATATATTTTCAAAGTGTACTGCCTACCTTCTTCATTACCAAATCCTTGATTAGAAGCAACTTCAGAAAGACGTGTCTATCCTCGGTAGTTAGGGGACACGGACTCCTCAATCCATTCCTGTTAGGAAGGTATGGCAGGAGGGAGGCTGCCGATCCCACAGCAAGCACAGTGAGGACGCGGAGAGCGAGCCGGAAGTGGGGGCTGGACTTCCTCCAGGAAGCTCCTGCACCTCTCCACTGATCACCCCCAGCAGGAGACCGAGTGTTCAGATGCACAGGCCCGTGGAGGACATTCCACTTTGAAACCACAGCCACGGTGTGGAGTCCGCGAGGGGGAACTTCCATACAGAGGCAAAAGGAGCGCTACACGTTTTACTGCAGGATTATCTGTGTTAAATCCCCTGTAGCTTAACGTTCTGCAAAATGTGAAATGAACTCTGCACTGGGCAGTGGTGGCGCACGCCTTGACCCCCAGCACTCGGGAGGAAGAGGCAGGCAGATCTCTGTGGGTTCGAGGCCAGCCTGGTCTACAGAGCGAGTTCTAGGACAGCCAGAGCTACATACATGTTTTGTTTCCCTCAAACGAAACAAAGCAAAAACTGTATGAAGCCAAAGTAAGAGCTGGGGCCAGTAACTTGACTCGGTTTCCTCCTCTGTAAAAGAGATGGTCATATATGTCTGTGACCAAAATTACTGAGAAGACTGCAGGAGGAACTATTTATTTGGTCACAGTTTCAAAGCCTTCAATCCACAGTGGGTGGGGAAGGCATGCAGAGCGGAAGACAGGAAGTGGTAAGGAGTAGAAACAGGAAGGGGCTAGAGAAGTCCCAAAGGTCATGCCCCCCGTGACCGACTTCCTCTCATCAGGCCTTACTTTCTGGTTGCCAATTCAAATTTTAAAAATGTGTGTGTGTGTGTGTGTGTGTGTGTGTGTGTGTGTGTGTGTGTGTGTATTTTGTGGGGTGTGCGTTCACTGTTGTTGAAGTTTGAAGCTCAGGGGACAACTTGCTGGAGTTGGTTTTTTCCTACCACGGGGATTCCGTGATTGAACTCAAATCATCAAGCTTGACCACAATCTCCTTGCCCCACTGAGTCATCCTCCTGCCCCACCTCCAGCCATCTTTTTTAAACTGAAAGTTTTAAGTCATCCTGACAATTTTTTTGATCCTCTTAGAATACTGAAATGCAAAATTAAAACAGATGTTTACAAATGAATAATAATTGGACTGTGGGTAATGGTTGAGTGTGGGTTGAAGTTGGTTTCATGGTGACCAGGATGGAACTCTGGATCTGCTGTCTACTGTGACTCTGATCTAGGTCCTGGGACCTCATTATGTCCTTTACCATTTCTGTAGAATGGAGATAGTGATATTTGGAGATTCTTTCTTCCCTCCTTCCTTCTCTCCCTCCCTCCCTTCCTTCCTTTCTTTCTGTAGACAGGGTTTATCTGTGTAGCCCTGGCTGTCCTGGAACTCACTCTGTAGCCCAGGCTGGCCTCAAACTCAGAGATCTGCCTGCCTCTGTCTCCTGAGTGCTGGGATTAAAGGCGTGCACCACCACTGCCCAGCTCACAGCAGCTCTCATAAAGGAAAACATTTAACTAGGGCTGGCTTGCAGTTCAGAAGTTTAGTCCATTGTCATCATGGCTGGAAGCATGACAGTGTGCAGGCAGACATGGTGCTGGAGAAGGAGCTGAGAGTTCTACATCTGGATCCTCAGGCAGCAGGAAGAAAGCTGGACCTGGCTTCAGCATCTGAAACCTCAAAGTCCACCCCCTGTGACACACTTCCTCCAACAAAGCCACACTTCCTAATAGTACCACTCCCTATAGGCCTATGGGGGC